GATTTTACTTGGCTTTTTCTGTTAGAAAGAGTTGATAGGAGAAAACCAGCCACATTCTACCAAGCCATATAACCTGCAACATTTTAATCTTTCAATGAAAAAGATATCATATTGGGGGGTGAACAGAGAAGCCCAAGAAGGTTGAGTTAGAACTTTTATCTAAGTGAACAAGAAGCAATTAATACAAGAAAATTATACTTCATAGTGTTAAAATTAGATATCTCCATTTCTGAGTGATCACAATTACATAAGTTTGTACAAAATTAATTATTACATGATTATGTGCAAAAAGAAAGAACAAAAAAATTTCTCAGCATTAAACTGAAATGAAATTATATACAACAGCCACTCAGTTGTAACAGATTTTTACAGAAATGCCAATATAGATGATGAAATCCCCAGGGAACCTAGAGTTCTTCTGTGCAAGAGACTGAACAGAACAACACTTAAAGTTCATACTATCAGGGTAATATGAAATATGTAACTACAAATTATTATTTGTCAAAGTTAGAACCAAACTGTTTTTCCCCTCTTAATTAGGATATTTTTTTCTTTAGAGTGAGAAGACAATTACTGTCTCTCTCTGCTAACGGAACTTTCTCCAGCACATTCAGTCACATCCTTTAGATTTATCCTTGTAAATCATATTAAAAGAAGAAATAGTATAACAGAAGAGTTGTCTTGTCTCAACGCACAGGCAAAATCTAGAAAGCAGACCCATTGGGGAGGAGAAAATGATTTATTTCTGAAAAAAAAAATACTACATTAAGAGGCATTTTGGTTGCATGGTTAAGAACCCAGAAGTCAGAAAATGTCATGGTTAATATCCTAAGCAAAACCCTATTACTGCCCTCTGGTGCACATGCATCCAGTGACTCTCTAGGTTTCTGACAGTGCATCCTTTGTGTGAGACTACAACATGTAATTTTCAGCAACCTTATTCCTTGTACACAGATAGGGTACATTAACACTGAAAGCATCTTGCATGGGAACTACAAAATCTCAGGAATGTAATGTTGTCCAAAAGTTGGTATTATTTTTTTAAAGTTTCCTAATCTGGGATTATGTAATTGGCAAGAAGCTATCAGTGTGTTTTTATTTAAACATGAGACATCCTGCTTGACTCACCATGCCTGAAAGCATAACAGGAGGGCTAATTCCAAGTTCCAGAGAACAGATGCATACAGTTTACAGTAGCAAATTTACTGGTATACAGGACATGCTGTTCTGCAATATTTAATTATTATCCCAATTACTTCTGTCATAGCATGGCTTCTGAATTTCCTCACTGGCTCTCAGTGAGAGACGTTTGCCATTCCCTTTTAGAACAGCACTCCCCACTTAGTAAGTTTTCCCTCATCCATGATCAGCAGCTAGAAACTCTACTGTAGTCTCGACTATATGTCACATACACAGTTTTGGGGAGCTGGATATTCAGTATTTGTCCAGTCTTATTAAAGGCTACTCAAGAGACAATGCAAATCACTTTGCACAGTCTGCCAGAATAGTTCTTTATAGTCAGACTGTAGCAAAAATACCACTGATGGGTGGTATCAGAAAAACTATGCAGAAAGTATTTAATTTTAATATTCTACATTACAACAAGACTCTGAAAATGCAGTCTATATAAGATTTCTGTTGTAACACCTAAAACTTTTAAAGTACATTATAACCTTTAAAAGAAAAATCAGTATTCTGAAGAGATCAGCAAGAGATTACTTAATGTATTTCTAGCACTCTAGAACTTTACAACTGTTCTTCTAGTGCTAAGTCCTAATAGAACTTTTGGAATTCGGGAGCTTTTTACCGTTTTCTGTTTAACAGCTCAGTCACATACTAAGAAACTCAAAAGGACCCAAAGAAAGTACTAAAGATACCTTTTCTCCTTTCTGTTTTGGAACTACCCGTTCTGACTCCTTATCACACTTGTTGCCCAACAGTATTACGTCCACTTCATCACCTGCTTTCTAAAAGAGAACCAGCATTAATAAATGTCAAGTAAGAAAAAAGCAAACAACAAAAGCCCTTCACCTTCAGCTCACACTAACCTTCAGCACTCCATTTCCTTGAAAGTAAAGGCTAAATTCTCTCATGACCTTCAAATGTGCAAATATTTTCCACCAATTACTGGGATTTGGAGGAAAACAGCAAGAATGCAAAGAGCAGAAAAAAGTCACTTGGAAGTGCCACGTATAGTTTCCAACCTCTTTTGTAAGATATAAAGTACATGGTGCATGGGCACCATCTTCTGATGAATGCTCCAGCTTGAGGCTTTAAAGTGACTGGAAATGCCCTGAATTCACAGACACTGCCCTACTAAAAGTAATAGATTCATGGATTAGCATATGACTCTGGTCTACATCCAGCACTCACAAGTAAAAGGGTAGGAATTTGCTGCACCTGAAAGAACACCTCTCTGTGTTTCACTTTTGCACACAGACTGTAAAATTACTTTCAAAGTGTTAAAACTCAATATAAAAGTCTGATTATTCCAAGACACTAGGAAGAAGGCAATAGATTTTAATGAAGTAAAATTTAAAAACCTCATTGATTTCAAAAGGAAGAAAAATCTACCTTTTTGACCTTCTCTTCTTCTCTGTTCCTCTAATCCACTTGCCTGCATGATGACTGTGAAATGCACTGGGTTTCTCACATCAATGTTATTTTAAGATTAAGTCATTGTAACTATACGTGACTGGAATAATGACAAGGAAAGCGAATAATTCTGCAACAGCATGTGGAATTTGAAATCTGACATTTGTTGTGAAAATCATAATACTTAAAACCACTTCTGGTGCTTAAATGGAGGACACTGAGGATCTCAATCTACAAACAATTGAAGCTACTGTAGTCTGATGCCATGGATTTTATTCTGGAGGTACATGGTCCCACAGCTTCCCTGATGACTTAAAAAGCCTGGTCTCAGGCTGCAGAACTCTCTATAGGGACTTTGATAAAATCTCTGATCTTTATCAAATGCCTAACTCTTGTAACTTTGCCATAAGACAAAATACAGCACAACCACACAGAGAAAAACCTCTATTCATTAAAGGATGAGAGAACACTATTTTTAGTCTATTTCTACTTTTATAACAATTTGAAGACTTCATTAGTAGGCACAATTTAATATTAAGGAACACTATTTATTTTTTCTTAATCCATACTCCTTAGAGCCATTTAGACTTATTTCATACCCACAGTTTATTAAAATGAAGTAAACTTCGTAAGAGTACAAAGTAGAGGCATAAAAAAATGAATCATTCTAACCTGGATTAATAGACCAAAACATTGGCTGTTTCAGAATACATTGAAGCTTCACTCATTTAGATCAGTGGCTCTCTACATAAAGCGACATATATCAGTCCCAAAATAGGGTAAATAGACAATTAAATCTCATTATGTAATCAACCTTTAATTTGGAAGAATACTGAAGGTTGATGAAGGTTTTACAAGTGACATTTGACTTCACTGTGAAGTTAAAGTCTAGAGGGAAATACTTGCATACTGCACGCACAAACCCACTGAATTAATTCTGTAACAATTTCTGTATAAACAGCACAAATTTTTGCAGTCGGAATGTTCTTTCTAAACAGCTTCAAACAATAACAAAATTTAAACAAGGTTTGAGGTACCAGGCTTTTTAGCAAGTATTTATTAGTACTACTATTAATAGTATTGCTATTAATATTGTGAAGTATTTACTTCTGCAAATAACTACTATTTCTACATTAGTATAACGTATTAATGTATTTTCACTTTGTTTGGATCCTCCAACAAAGCTTTCAGTTCTCCTTTTTTAAAGATGGTATCTTGCAGTTTCTTGCATTTAGAAAACTGAATATTGTTAGTCAAAATGATGTGCATTTTAAATTCTGAAAATTGATTATGCATGACGTCTTAAAAAATTTAGTCAATACAACTAGGCAGTAGTTTGACCATGTGTTTAGCTAGCATAAAAACTACACAGGTACACTGGCCAAAAATACGGCTTTTCAGTGCTTCCAAAAGCTTGCTGTATATTTTCATGCTCTGTTATTTATAGCTCAGGAATAAGCTTTCCAAATGCAAAATCTATAGCTAAAAAGATGAGGGTTATTTTACAGTTGTTAAAATCCTATTATGCAAGTCAGCACTGAGTAAGCTCATAGACTCAGGAAACATTTTTCCCCCATTTATGACGTCCTATTAAAAATCATCAATTTCATCAAGGCAGAAATATTTTTTTTTCCAGATAAAGCTTTACTCTGGTATCTCAAAAATGCCATTTTTTGGTTCACTCTCTCAGTTTTTCTTTGTGTTTTAACATTTCAAAGTTCACATTTTACTGAAGGTTAAAATAAATACAATCTGAACCTGGAGAATACCTACACCACTTTGTTTTGAAAAGGAAAACTTCATCATTGTATTTTTCTGAAAAAAAAATGGAGCCAAGAGATTTACTGAGACTGAGCGAGTCTTCTCAGATGTTTGGCACAGTTTGGAGCCACCAGGTTTTGGCAGAAGGGTTTTTCTTCCACTGGGTTCCCAGGCAGCTGGATCTGGCAGCAGCAGGAGCCAGGCTGCTCTGAGCAGCGGCCACGGGAGGGAGCAGCAGCAGAGCCTCAAACTGAGCGCTGCCACATCCTGGACTCAGAGCACTGGACATTCACATCACAGTACCACAGTCTCTGTAGCACACTACTGATAGGGGCCACCCACCTGTGCCCCTCACCCCACTGCTTAATGTCCACCCAGCCAGGGGAACACACAACCTGACTATGCGCCTATTAACAGAAATCAAAGATGCAAAGGCGAAAATATCTTGCTCATTCCTTTTGTATGTAATTTGTCTGGGGATTTGGGTGGGGTTTTTTCATATGTTAGATCTTTTTTCCCTACAGTTTTTATTTTCCAGAAGTGCTGTGAATTTATGTGAGTATGAAAAGTAGCAGACACTTTTTCTATGAGAAAACTACACTATATCTGTACTTATAGACTATTGAAGAAACTATCCATTCACTTCTTAAATGGTGAACACAGACTACCAAGAATGATGCCAACCTCCCCTGCAGCAACCTCCCCATGATGATTATGAGCTCACTGAGACTCCTTGTATAAAGCTATCTATCCAGGGATACATCTTCCAGAACACTGCCTTGTCCCTTCCCCACATCTCCAGGGTGTAGTTGTGAAGGGCTGCATGATATTGATTACTCATTAATACAGCTTGAAAAGGCAACAGAAGTTTGTTTGTAAGTCTAAACAGTGAAACTGAGAACCCATACCTGATAAATAAACTATGGGAATTCTTAAATAGTCTGTATTTAAGGAGTAAATGTAGCTTTTCATATGTGAAAATGTACATGGTCAAACATCAAGATGAAGGCAGAGCTGGAGAAGGCAATAAAACTGGAAAACTTTTTCTTTTTACTCATTATACAATGACACTGGAAACCTACCCTTTGTAGTACTGAAGAACAACTTGTTAAAATAGACTGTCCTCAGAGACTCTTTGAAAGCATCACATGGGCAGTGTTCATATTAGGATTGCCAAATATGTCTCTTTCCACATATTTTCCTAAGTGCCACCTTATGACCTCAATTACAAATGCCTGGTTTCCAGGACTTCAGTGGAAATATGATGAAATTTATTTGTCTACTAGCAAATTTAGAATGCAGTAGATATAAACCAATTTATCCCAAAGCCAACCTAGGACTACAGATAAACCAATTTAGTAAAATGACAAGAGCAAGAATTTTAAGGTCTTATCTGAGCCATAACGACAAATCTATCTATGAACTGGGACAATTTGATGTTTTAACATCAAGCTTTCCCATTTGAGGGAGAAAAAACTGAGAAGAGTTTCAAGTCAAGCTAATTTACATTTGTAAAGCAGTTTGCTGTGCTGCTTTTATTTAAGTATGATGCTGAAAGGCAGTCTAGTCTCCCAAATGAACCAGAGGAACCAAACCAAAAAAGGGCACTATGCAGAAATGGCAGCAACTCAACAATTCATACAGTTCATATCCTGGTTCATAGCTTCAGGTAGGACAAATAGAAAGTTAATGTATTAAAAACCACTAAACTACCGTCACCACGACTTGCACGAGAAAAGATTATCTTCTCCATGACGAAAATTCTGTGATGGCAGACAATTTCCAGCACAGAGATAATTGTTAGGAGCCGGTATTGCCACCTTCATGGCCACATCAAGAGAGACTAGCACAATTAAAACCAATTCAAGGTATTTAGAAGTAAATTAATTCCTACCATCTATGTCAACCATTTTTGGAGACTCAGATGCCATGTGTGAATAATGGAGTGATTTAGGTTGGCAAGGACTTCTAGAAGTCAGTTAGTATAGTCCTGCATTCAAAGAAGAGCTAACTTCAAAATCAGGTCAGGTTGCTCAAGGCCTTGTTGAATGGAGTTTTAAGTGCCTCTTTTAAGTGATCCTCTCTGGGCACCTATTTGAGCATTTGAACCACTCTATTGTGAGGAACCTTTTGCCAATGTTAGCTGGAATCTTGTTCAAAACATCCTGGAAAAAACTGTTGTCTGCAAAGTGATTTGGTACACAGCTGTTTGTATTTATTTAATTTTCAAAGGCCAAGCAGCATCAGCCTTTCAGAACAGGTGCATACAGTAGCTAAAAACCATGTCAGCTAGAGGAACACTTTAATAAATTGGACACAACCTGCAATTCTACAAATAAACAATGGTTTAAGGTTCTAAAGTTATCTTCCTGCAATTATCATGCTCCTAATGACTGCATTACAAATCCAATCTCTTATATTGGACTTGCCAGTAATGTCCTAAAATATTAATCTATGCACGAGTATATTTTTCTAGCATGCTTTTAAAAAGTACAGTTATGATACTTCATTTCCTATAGTTCTGAATTCAAATTTTACAGCAATACAGATATGGAAGCATATTTGTGTCTTGTATTTCCTTGGACAATAATTCATTTTTAATAGTGAAGCTGCTGTATTCCATATACAAACTAACTGAAATATAATGAGAACATTACTGGTAATCTGATTATAATTGCACTGACTGGCCAGTTTTTATAAAATCAATGGGAGATTTTAAGAATACTAAATTGCTTGGATTGTTATTTTCAACTGTTGCAAAAATGGCTTAGTACACTGAATACATTTTAAAAAAACTTTCTGTTTAAAATCTTTATGTGCAAAGAACCCAAAAATGAGAGCATAATGTAATAACTGAATTGCCTTAAAAATTCATGTTTGACTGGTTCAGGTGCAAGCTTTACACCTATTAGTCTGGTATTTAGTGAAGTCTGTATTCTCTCTGTTTCCCTTTTAAAAACTTATTTATTTTTTCTATGTTTGCATATTTTAAATGGTGCTGTAGCAACAGTCACTTTGATTCTGGGCATTTGTAGGGAATTAAAAACTGGTTTGCATTCACAGACCAAAGCAAGTGCAAGGAATGTCACCGACCTCCAGGAAGTAATTAATTTTCATGAAATGCCCTGTCTTTTAACAGTTATTGCTTAAAAACATTTCTTTTGCAATGAACAGCCCCATATATTTTAACCAAGACACTTCATAAATTGATATCCCACTAGGACTAAATTAAATTTTTTATTACTATCTAGCTCTATTACAACACTAATTGCCAGTTTTGAGATTGGTACAATCAATCATGCAATTTACATTCCTAGAAATTGTTTTAGATTGAGTATTTTTCCATTTTTTAAACTTTAAACTAACAGAAGTACTTTCAGGGGTTAAGATTAAACAGTCTTAAGTATTAATACCTTGAATACATCTACATGAAAACTTTTAAAATGTCACAAACTGAAAGCAGGCTTGTGCAGGTGTCATTTCCTGATTGATAAATTAGATCTAAACCTGCATTTCCTGATTGATAAATTAGATCTAAACCTGCATGGTGGCCACAGGAGCTAGTCTCATCCTTCCCACCACCCCAGCCATACAGCCCTGATACCTGCTCACTGTTTATGGCTGTGCACTGTAGCCCACTGAATCAATCATCCTGTTGATCTAATTGGAGATGACAGGATAATATGACCCCTTTGGAGCCAGTGTGTAGCCAGAACAATATTTTATGTTGAAATATAGATAGATAGATAGATAGATAGATAGATAGATAGATAGATACATAGATACATAGATACATAGATAGATAAATGAATGCAGATAATCCACATTTTCAGTTTCAGGTAACAGTAAACCTGCTATCTACTGTTTGCTGAACTAAAGTTTTGTTAACCATGAAATTGTACAACCAGTGGCACACCTAGCTGTGACTTTTGTTTGGCCAACAGAAGAAAGGCACATGCTTTTCTTAACAAAACAATAAAACATATGTGTTAGTTTAAAGTGTGGGCAGACAAGCCAGTAAGAATATTGAGCCATCCAATCTCCTTTGTAGCATATTACTGAAGTTAGGCTCTCTTGCCACTAAGATTTTTAATATGGCTCTAAGGTCAAGAAAAATTATTTACTATGTCACCAGAGTTATGTTTTTAAAAGTGAGATAATGTGAATGTAATGTTTTCCTAATGTATGGGGTATGAGATATCCCACGTATGTATTATTGGATATATGATCATGTGTAGTTCATTAATTCAGCTGTATACTGAAGCTGTGAAGAAAGAAAAGAATGCATTTCATGGTTTTATTTCAATCCCTCCTTCCCAAGATGAAAAGCCCCCTTTCCCATCCATCCCCATCAAACCATAAGAATATTTTAAAACCTGCCTTAAACTTTACTTGATTTTGATCAATGAAGAGCACTACCTTGATTGTATTCTTACACTAACTTCCACAAGCCTACAAACTACAAACTGCTGTGCTACTGCTGAGGGGCAATCACTGCTCCCTACACCCTCCTCACAAGGGAAAGTAGATCTGAAAGATACTGATCTTTTTCCCTGGTATCAAGAGACAGGACACATGGGAATGACTCAAAGTTGTGCCAGACTGGAACATTGGGAGGCATTTCTTTACTGAGCCAGTGGTCAAACACTGGAACAGGCTTCCTAGGGAGACGGTCAATTTCCAAGCCAAATTAAGAGGCATCTGGACAATGTTGTTAAGAAATAACATAATTTAAATTTTAGTCAGCACTTAAGTGGCCAGGCAGCTTACAGTTGAAGGCCCCTTACAGTTGAACTATTCTATTCTAAAACTGCCTTGCCTCTATCTAATAAAGAACACATCAAGAGAGACCTACCAAAAAAGACTTGGAATACAGGGTTCGAGTCAGCTGAAGGATGTCGTGTCTAAGGGCTTGCCCACTCCTCTCTCCCTTCACATTGTTTCCAGACATTCTTCTTCTGGCCTTCTTACTCCAACCTGTTTACCTTACTGCAGCTCCAGTAAGTGTCAGATCTTTCTATGAGCCTCTCAAGCTCACTAATAGAGCAGAAAAACCACTCTAACTTCTTTTGCAGTGTTAGTTTTCTATCACATTAGGAAGTCAGAGTGAAGCACAGAGAGCTCTGACAAGCTCCAGCAGGAACACATACCCTGTCTGGCAGCCATATGCTGTTGAATCACTTCCTATGTCACATGAAAGCACGTATTTCTGGTTGCAGCACCACGAGCAGCTGAGTTAACCAAAGAGACTCCCACCCCACTTCCTCCCTCTTGAAACCATCCTCTACAGGAATATGCAGCAAGGACAAAGAGGATATTTAATTCCTTTGATCTTGGGATGAGGTAACTACACTGAAGTAATGAAATTAGGAAAGGGAAATCACGGGCTGTGATACAGAATTTTGATATGGAATCTAATTAAAATCCCAGGATGAGCTCATGCAGACTGATCTATGCATAGCCACACCAGTGACAAGAGCACCATAACACAGCATGCACAAAGAGGGATTGGAAGCTATGTTTTAGAAGTACTTCAGAAAACATTCCTCCATCAACATGGGCTTTCCTAAATATAAACCATGTTCCATTTCAGATGACAGTAATTATATTATCATACTTTGTGCTGAGTTAAATGCAAGAAATTCTGGTTAGAAACATACAGGAACAGAATACATCTCATGCAGTTGTTTACAATGACACATTAATTACCTTCATTTAGCGATCAATTGCTGATATATTTACCTCATATATGTCGTTCATCCACATTGTTACACTTTGAAAACTCTTCAGATTTGTGATGTCATATACAAGAACAAAGCCTTGTGCACCACGGAAATAGCTGGTACTAAGTGTATGGAACCTTTCCTGGCCAGCAGTATCCCTGAAGGAAATGGTAACAAATCACACACAAAAAATAAACAAAAAAAGAGATGATCAAACTGCAGAATCCCCAAGAAAGATTACTTTACTTTAAGGAGTATTGTCCAAATTTTAAATTATGTACTCTAACATGAAAAGAACATGAAAAAATACAGATGACAGAAAATATGGGTGCCAGATATAGCTATAAAAGAAATAAACTGGAAATTTATTCTGAATAATACAGCCCTTCTAGGGAAACCAAACCAATGGCTGAAACCTGAGATTAATGTCAAGCCCACCATTCCTTCTTTATATAAATTCAGGTGATAAAAAGATCAGATGTCAGATGACATCCCCATATTTTGACAAGCCCTTTGTAAACTGTGATACAAACAACAACCTGGTTTAGATGGAAGACAGGTTTAAGGAAAAAACCATAAAATATATGGACACAGCGATTCTTACACATAATGCCAAAACCTGAGGAAAGAAACACAAATGGGATACCTCAATCTGCTTCAGGAGATGTTTGCTACAAAGTAGCTAAACCTGAAATGTTTCTACACTACTACACCAAGAAAGGGGAACAAATGAGACAAGCTCCAAGGTTTGTCCCACTCCCAGAGACATGACATCACTGGCATGAGTGAAACCTGATAGGAAATAAAATGAATAAGCAAGGTGCATGCCCAATGGAAGCAAAGTTAGGTGACATGGATAGAATACAGAGATTCTGTTTGCCACTGTAGGGAGAAAATTTGTGTGGTCAAAGCTACACTGGAGCCAAAGCTGACAGAAACATGGGAGACAATAAAAATTTTTTTTCAAATACACGAATGGCAAAAGGTAATGTAGAAATAACATCAGCTCATTACAGGATGAGGATGGTCACCTCACCTAGAGGGACATGGACAAGTAGAGGTGTTTAATGCATTCTCTGTCTTCAACACAGATGACAGACCAAGGGAGTCTCAGTGCCCTGAGCTGGAAGACCAGGACTGTGTGAATGATCAACTCCTAGTCAACCCAGAAACTGTGTGGGATCTGCTTCCCCAGCTGGATCCATACAAATCCATGAAGCCTGATAGGATTCATCTGAGAATTCTCAAAAAGCTGGCTGCTATCATCACAAAGCCTCTCTTGATTTTTAAGCAGTCTTGGGAGTCTGGAGAGGTCCCGGCTGACTGGAAGCTGGGTAAAGCTGTCACAGTTTTCAAGAAGGGCAAGACCCTGGAAACTACAGGCCTGTCAGTCTCACTTCAGTGCCCAGTAAAATAATGAAAAATATTATTCTGGGAGATACACACCTGGATGACAACACAGTCATTGGTCACAGACAGCACAGCAAGCCAAAGTCAAGTTGTTGAACCTGACTTCCTTCTATAAAATGGTAATCCACTTAGGTGATCAAGGAAAGCCAGTAAATATGGTCTCACTGAATTTCAGCAAAGCTTTTGGTACTGTCTCCCACAGTACCTTCCAGACCAAACATCCAGCACACAGCTGGATAACCATGCTGTGTGATGTGTGAGCAGCTGGCTCACAGGTCAGGCACAAAGGGTTATAGTGAATGGGGTGACATCAGAATGGGGTCTGGTCACCAGTGGGGTTCTGCAGGGCTCCATCCTCAGCCCAGGTCTGTTCAACATCTTCATCAACCACTGGGATGCAGGACTTTAAGGGTACTAAGTGAGTTTGCCAATGACACTAAATTAGGAAGAGCTGTCAACTCTCTTGAGGGCAAACAGGCTCTGCAGAGAGACCTCGACACATGCGAGGACTGGGCAATCACCAACTGCAAATGCTGGATTCTGCACCTGGGACAGGATAATCCCATTAGTGTGTACAGACTGGGGAATGATTTACTGGAAGGCAGGGCTGGAGAAAGGGACCTGGGGATCCTGGCCACTGGCAATTTTAACATGAGCCAGCAGTGCCTTGGCAGCCAAGAGGACCAAACATGTCCTGTGGTACATCAGGCACAGCATCCCCAGCCTGGCAAGGGAGAGAACTGACTCTGCTACGCACTGGAACAGCCTCACCTCGAGTGCTGGGCGCAGTTTTGGATACCACAATATAAAAAAGGCATTAAGCTCTTAAAGAGCATCCAAAGGAGGGGTATGAGAACAGGGGAAGCCATAAAAAGAGTGTTCGAGGTCACTTGGTTTGTTCAGCCTGGAGGAGACTGAATATCTCTGTAACAGAAGGGAGACCTCACTGCAGTCTTTAACTTCCTCACAAGGGGAAGTAAAGGGGCAGGTACTGATATCTTCACTCTGTGTGACCAGTGACAGGACTTGAGGACATGGCCAGAAGCTGAGTCAAGGACAGGTAGGTAGGCTGTCAGGAAAAGGTTTTTCACCCAGAAGGTGGCTGGGCACTTGAATAGGCTCCCCAGGGAAGTGGTCACAGCATTGACCCTGACAAAAGTTCAAGAAGCATTTGGACAATGTTCTCAGGCACATAGTGCGATTCTTGGTGTCCTATGCAAGGCCAGAAGTCAGACTCAATGATCCTAATGGGTCCTTTCCAACTCAGCATATTCTAAGATTCTATTAATTATGCCTTAAGAAAACTATAACCAAGCCTTTATTATTTTTGCATTAAAGCCTGAGATGGAATAAGTGCAGATCCAATACCAGTCAGATATTCATGTGCAGATTTACTCCTTGACAAGTTAAATACTGGTATATAGAGATAATTTTCAGTATTAGATGCCAGATGTCAGAAGCCCTACATAACCTTTAGAAAAATTTCAAAACCAAAAATAGTCTACATTCACAAAGATTTATCTTATCAAAAGTAATTTCTCTTGGTGACCCTTTTGAACCTACATTTGATGGGTAATGAAATGTAACATCTTCTTGCTTTGTCACTTTCCTCAATGTTCCTATACAATTAAACACATTTCAAACTGATCATAGATCTGCACTTCTTTGTATGCTGCAAGTTCTATTACTAATGCAACCCAGTGACAAGCCACTTTTTAACTTCCATTAGCTGTTGCAAAAAAATATACTCTCCCAGTCCAGATTCAAATTTTAAAATTATCTAGTAGGAGCACCCACACATTATAAAGGCACACAATTAAAAGTAGATCAAATTTTTCATGTCATAAAGCAATTGAGTTGGCTTTCTTTTGTGATACTAAATAAAACTTACCATATTTGAAGTTTCACTCTTCTATCATGAAACATTACAGGCTTTACTTTAAAATCAATGCCTAGAAAAAAAAAGGAAAATCTGTAACATTTCTCATAATAAGATGGATTCCCTCTGAAGATTGTTTCTCAGCTCTATTTATCACGCAATTTCAGACAGAAAGTGAAAAGGAACAATTCCTAGAAATATAGATAGAATAGAATTGAAAGAATAATTAGCCAACCATATACATTCAAAATGGAAGCTTTAAAGGAAATTATTCACTGCTGAGTGCCAATACATTGCACAAATACAATACAAAGCAATGCCAATACCAAGCAAAGAAGGGCCAGGTCAAAGGAAAGGTGAAGATACTCTGAAACCACAATTAAGTACTACCATGGATTGGCAAGGGACACAACAGCAGTTTCATGGCCTATGCACAACAGTACATTGTGCAAATAGAGTGGTGATTTTCAAGAGCATGGCAGCTATGAGTGGGAAGGTAAAAATGCTTACAAAGCAGCTGTCACATGTGCAACACAATTTTGCTGTCCTTAATTCCAAATCCCTAAAAAAAATTCCAGGGTTACATGAGAAGAAATAGGACTTGCCTGTATGCATTAAGTGCAAAGAAAAACATACATGGGATTTAATTCAAAATGAAGAGGAATAGCTCTACAGCCTAAATCAGATCCAGAAAGGCAATGCTAAAAGCAAGTATTAACACTTAACATCAATGCAGAATGTTGTCTCTAAACACACTACAGATCCTTCCTCAAAGATATCTTCCTTATGATTTATAGTATTTGCCTTTATTGAATTGTCAAATTAGTACTCCAGATGTGTTAGATCATACCTAGATTGATGAGCTGCTGAAGTTCCAGTTCTAAAATTAGAATCTGCCAGCTATCAGCTGCTATCTTAGAATGACATATTTTTGCAAAGTAAAGCAGTGTTTCCCCCTATTACTTCACTGCTGAAGTTTGAAATACCATTTGATAATTTCTATGATTGCTCTTTTCCCCCACTGATAAAGATAAGGCTCTTTTTGTCAATTATAGTAAATGAAGTTAGGGTAACATTGTGACAGCTGACCATACTGTATGGGCAAAATTCCGTAAGATCAAACTATAGCTACTTAAAATTACACTGTCTTTTCACTAGTAGTAATGTCATTTGGAGGAACTAGACAGACTGAAAAAAATCACACAAAAAATTAAGTTAATATTTATGTAAGAATGTGCAAGCCAAATCACTTTATCAAAGGAAAGCACCCATGGCAGCAAACCAAAAGAGCAGAGGAAATGCTCCCTTCCTTTGGGACAGATGTATTGTGCACAAAATTTTCACAAGTACACTCTCACATGCATGCACTCACATGCACTTTCAATGCTATTACAATATTTTTGTGTCTATGTGGTAAGGGAATTGAGGTGGATTTCAAAAATTATTATGATAATCATGTCCTATACTTGATGAATTTTCATTGAAGCTGCAATGAAAGGGAAAGATGAAATAATATAATTGGTATCTGTAATTAATATTACACAAACCTTCCTTGATGGAATTAATATCGTGAGAAGAAAATGTGATTTAAGGAAAATTTGTTCATGTAAGGTGAAATTCCAACGTGCTGGAAAACATTTGCTCCTGAAATTCACATGGTTTTGTTTAATTATCTGTATCATTTTCTACAATTGATCTTGAAGCAGTTGAGAGGGACAGAGTATATACTGGGAGGCTGGAGTGTCACTTACAAATGGTGCATTGGGAGCACAGCAAAAAATTATAGTTCAGACAGGGATTCCCAGAACTATAGGGAAAAGTTCTTAGTTGACATACATTTTAATAATAAATTGCTATAAGCTTTTAAAAAAAAATTGTAAAAAAGGGAAGCAGAGTGCTGAATAAGACTAAAACTTAATCTAAATTAAAATCAGGCATATTGACTTCTTAAGTCAACTTCAAAATTTATTGACCTAAAAGGTCAATGAATGTTAGTGAAAAACAGAAGTCAATATGTTCTGCATGCATGAATTGTTCATGTCTTTATATGAAATTTCCAGCAAACTTAGCAAATTGGAAAGACAGAAAAGAAAAATGAGATACACAATGCCAAAGACAGCTCACGGATTTCAGATGCTTTTAAGACCTACCTGGTATACAACATGATCAACATAACAAAGCAAGCATTGATTACAGCTCTTGAGATGAATGTTATTGGAATGCAACAGCATGTAGTTTGCTTCTTTTAGGCTGTCAAATAAAACCAAGAAGGGGGATGCTGGGTACAAGCTCTAATACTGTTTGCTATTTCCAACTTTTATAGCCATGAAAACTTATTTTCTTTGTAGTTCAAAGAGTAAAAAATGCCCATATTAGGACTGAAGCATCTTAAAGACAATTAAGTATAAAAAGTATAAAAATAGTCAGCCACAGGGTAATTCAGCTGTGAAATGCCCCTCTCTTCCCTCCCTTTGCCAATTGTAGAAGTCCTTTTCAAAGAGGTCTTTTGCAGCTGGCCTGGAAAATTACAGCACACTTTTCAAACAAACAGAGCTGGCGGGTTCCTGATAGAAAATGCTCAAAAACCTACGTCTATCTAGAGAAAATGCAAGTTTGAGTAGCCTAGCAGGACACAACAGTGAAAACAGTGACAGAGGGCGGTGAATGCCCCCGTGCAGGTTCTACCCAGCCCACTGCCTGTCATACAGCATCTTCAACTTCAGGAACAGGGAAGTAGTTCCTAGCAGCTCCTGTGCCCACACTTAACCTCTCCAAGTTGTTGGCACATTACTTGCATCACATTATTTTCTGAACATATCAAGAAATGTCTGAAGCAGAGAGGTGTCTGAGCAGTCGTAAGTATTGATAATTCCTGTTTTGCTGAGAAAAACAACTCATGGGATAAGAGTTGTTGTTTCTTGTTAGGAAAACAAGAGTGACAAGAATATCCAGTTTTGTTAAAAAAAAAAAAAAAGACTTGGATTGCTACTGGTGTTCATAACACAGGACATATTTACCTTCAATATGGTTAATTTTTGTTGATTACTTTATTCCTTTCTAAGGTAAATATCAGGGAATCTACACAGACTATTTATCCTAATGTTGAAGTACCACTTTAAACTATGACATATTTGGGAGGACTCACAGCTCTGCAGAAATTTTTCTCTACGAAAACACATGTGCTGAAAGACCACAGCAAATGCAATACAGCAAAATAACCTCACAGCCTGTGAGATCACAATTCTGTTCACTGGTATGCAAGGAGGTTCTTCTGTTCATAAACCTCTACGACTTTATACACAATACCACTGTATCAAAAAAACAAAAACATTTATTCTTTATAATCTATTCATAATACAATGCATCCACCTTATGATGTGTTTCAGTTTAATTAGAAAACTATAACTGCTGGTAATTTATCCAAACTATGTAATTGAAGAAGAGAAAGGGCACCCAGCCTTGAGTGTTTAAGTGCTGCATTAAAAGTTTTCAATGAAAATTTACTGTAGATGTATTTTTTGCATTTTCTCACAAAATACATAATTTTAGAAAAGTTCACTACTACTGGAGCCTACTACAAAATGCTTATCTGGCTTTTTCCCCAGCAATAACACTAGGAATTTTCCTAGTAACACAAATTTGTGATTCATGATGACATAGAAATGAGACTTTCAACTACCTTTTAACTTGTGTGCTAAGACCCTCTTCCACCAAGGAAGATGATGGCATATGATTTTGTCAGGGAACTCAGGAAGTTGCAAGACTGCACAGTCGGGATAATGTTCCCTCTACTCAAATCACCATTTCAATTGGACAGGTAAAGTGACAAAACACCTGACAGCAGATGAGCATTTAATAGGCTGTACAACAGAAAGGGATCATTTGACTGAGCTTGTATGAAACAGGTATCCAGATAAAACTAGTTATTTGTTCTGATGGTACCAACAGTGAGGAAGGAGACATCAAAAAATGAGAAAACACAATGTGTTTTCTTCCTTTACACCACTAGGAACCACAATCTTGAGGGCACCCTCTCCATTGCAGCTGTCTCAATGAAAAAGGAACCTTCCACTTCCAATATTACTCTTTTGGAAGCCATCACTCATAATCCCATTTTTTTTCAAAGTCCAAGCTCTAAAACACATGGCAAAATGGAATTAAATAGAACAGAGCATTTCAGAAATAGCTTTAAAAACACATTAGGTAACAAATACCATGTTTGGATTATTTATTTATATTCCAGATAAGCATTAAAAAAAAAAAAAAGTTCTTAAATATCTCAATAATATGTGTCACTAATGAAACTAAAGAGATTTAATCTTAGTCCATAAACTGTCATAAAAACTATTATCATCATTATTCCTTGAAATAGTTCAAGTCACAACTTGGGAAATATATTCTAAATATTATTACCATATAAAAGTTTTTTCAGTCTGCAGTGGACTGAGTCAGGAGTAAAAGAAATTATGTCTCAAAATAATAACCTGATGATCAGGAATCTCAATGTAAAGCACATCTCAATATAAAGCACAATAAAGCTGTTATTTTTATAGTTGTTCTTTGGGCTTTCTTGTTAAGCCTGGCAACAAGTTGCCTATTATTAGGATCAATTTCCTGACTTTACTGATAGTTGTGTTCTTCCCTCTTCATCTGTGCTGGTTGCAGAAACTGCTTTGTAAGAAAGGGCAAGAAAATAAAAAGTGGTTAAAGTTCAGCCATTCTTATGTGGACAGATCAAGTCATCTCATGTACATTAAGTATTCCCTGGACCAACTACTGCCACAGCTACTGTCTGGTATTTAATTCCACTATGCCAACTCCTCTCCGATTGAAAGATGTGTAAATGAACCATGCAAATTCCAAATGCTGGAATACACAATTTCCTGGCCTAATTTAGTTTTCTCTTCAAAATCAAATTAAATAAAAGAAAAAATATTCTTATACACAAACTCTTAAAAATTAAAATTTCCCGATGAGGATTTGGGAACATGTCCACAGCAAAATCAAACCACTGTACTCACATAGCACATCTTCATGCTGGAGACAAGGTTTTCAGCATGTGGACAGTCATCCTGCCATTCCCTATGGCACCGTGGGTCTGGGAGTGCCAAGGCAGGAGCCCCCCATCACCTGCCAGCTGCAGCATGTGGTGCCAGCGCAGAGTTGACTCAGTCTCTGGTAGGGTTAAATATTTCCATCATAGCAACAGCTCTGCTTTAATCATCATGCATACTACTAACTACAGTACAAGATATCTTTATATCATTAAAGTTATAAACACAAAGGTAAAGCCCTTTCTAGCCTGAAATATTGATGAACTGGGCTTTTTACTGACATCTGACAACTCCCTGAGGTTGGTACCTGAAAGGAGGCTGTAGCCAGGTGAGGATCGGCCTCTTCGCTCAGGCAACAAGTGACAGGACAAGAGAAATTAGACTCAAGCTGTGCCAGGGAAGGTTTAGGTTGGACATTAGAAAGAATTTCTAATGATTAGCATGATTAGGCATTGGCATAGGCTGCCCAGGGAGGTGGTGGAGTCAGCGTGGAGGTGTTTAAGAGCAGAAAAGGCACACAGTGAATGGTCTGTTTGACACGGCGGTGTTTGGTCACAGGTTGGACTCGATGATCTCAGAGGTCATTTCCAACCTAGCTGACCTGGGGCTCTGTATTTTTCTCTCTGTGCCTGCACCGATGTACAGCAGCAGGGCCTCTGTGGGCAATAAGAAACAAGTCTCCACAAGTTTACACCAGGAGCAGATTCCCAATGCCCACACGAGAGTAAGGACACTGTAACAACCCAGCACTTTGCAGTGGCTCTGGAGCCAGTGTGACACATGCCGTGACACCACGGCAGAGGTTTAAGCCGCCGGTCACAGCTGCACACCCTGCCAGCCCCGCACAGAGAGCTTTGGCACCGCACAGCCCCGCACAGGGAGCTTTGCCACCTTCCAGCCCGGCACAGAGAGCTTTGGCACCGCACAGCCCCGCACAGGGAGCTTTGGCACCTGCCAGCCCGGCACAGAGAGCTTTGGCACCGCACAGCCCCGCACAGGGAGCTTTGGCACCTGCCAGCCCCGCACAGAGAGCTTTGGCACCTCACAGCCCCGCACAGGGAGCTTTGGCACCTGCCAGCCCCGCACAGGGAGCTTTGGCACCTCACAGCCCCGCACAGAGAGCTTTGGCACCTCACAGCCCCGCACAGGGAGCTTTGGCACCTCCCAGCCCGGCACAGGGAGCTTTGGCACCTCACAGCCCCGCACAGGGAGCTTTGGCACCTGCCAGCCCCGCACAGGGAGCTTTGGCACCTCCCAGCCCCGCACAGGGAGCTTTGGCACCTCCCAGCCCCGCACAGGGAGCTTTGGCACCTGCCAGCCCGGCACAGGGAGCTTTGGCACCGCACAGCCCCGCACAGGGAGCTTTGGCACCGCACAGCCCCGCACAGGGAGCTTTGGCACCTGCCAGCCCGGCACAGGGAGCTTTGGCACCGCACAGCCCCGCACAGAGAGCTTTGCCACCTCACAGCCCGGCACAGGGAGCTTTGGCACCTCCCAGCCCCGCACAGGGAGCTTTGGCACCTGCCAGCCCGGCACAGGGAGCTTTGGCACCTGCCAGCCCGGCACAGAGAGCTTTGGCACCTCCCAGCCCGGCACAGGGAGCTTTGGCACCTGCGAGCCCGGCACAGGGAGCTTTGGCACCTGCCAGCCCNCACAGGGAGCTTTGGCACCTGCCAGCCCGGCACAGAGAGCTTTGGCACCTCCCAGCCCCGCACAGGGAGCTTTGGCACCTGCCAGCCCGGCACAGAGAGCTTTGGCACCTCACAGCCCCGCACAGGGAGCTTTGGCACCTGCCAGCCCGGCACAGGGAGCTTTGGCACCTCCCAGCCCCGCACAGGGAGCTTTGGCACCTGCGAGCCCGGCACAGAGAGCTTTGGCACCTCACAGCCCCGCACAGGGAGCTTTGGCACCTGCCAGCCCCGCACAGAGAGCTTTGGCACCTGCGAGCCCGGCACAGAGAGCTTTGGCACCTCCCAGCCCCGCACAGGGAGCTTTGGCACCTCCCAGCCCCGCACAGGGAGCTTTGGCACCTGCCAGCCCGGCGGTGCCGCGCTGACAGCGCCGGCCTGGCCGCGTGGGAGCCGCGGGCGCCGGGGAGTGCGAGGGGCGGCAGGAGGCGGACCGGGAGCCGGCGGGCACTCACCGATCGTGGCCATGTACGAAGTGGCGGGAGAGCCGGCGGGAGGCGAGCCGGGCTCCGTGTACCTGCGCACGATGGAGGTCTTCCCCACGCAGGACTCTCCGGCCATGACGATTTTCACCAGCAGCGGCCGCGGCTCCGCCGCGCCGCCGGGCCCCAGCCCCGCCATGGCGGGCGGCGAGTGCCGGCCGGGCCGGGCCGGGCCGGGCCGGGCCGGGGCGGGAGCGGGCCCGGAGCCTCCTCAGCGCTAGCCGCTGCCCCGAGCCGCGTTGTGAAATTATGCAAAGATACACTTTTCTTTTTGTTTGTGGTTTTTTTTAAATTTTTTTTTTTTTTAAGAAGTTTCATCACCAGGGTGGAAGCGGGAACTTTCACAACCCCCATGACGCTTCCTCCGTGAAGTACAGAAATAAACAGTCTGGTTTCAAATTGCTTCCTAGCGTTAAGGCAGAGACAGAAGAAACAGGGTTTAAGAGTTTCCTTTTTTTCTGCTTTTAATTTGTTGTCATCTGACAGTCAAATGTCAAAATGTCAAATGTCAAAAAGTAACCTGTAACACACACAGAGGAAAAAAAACAACAAAAAAAACCCAAAACAAAACAAAACAAAACAAAAAAAACAACAACAAAAAAAACAAACCCAAAAACACCTGTATCTATATATCTATAGTGTAGGTTTGCTGCATATGTGTCTGGATGTTTTTTTACCAGAATCCCACACTGTCCAAATTATAAAGCCCATGGCCATTAGCCAGCATACACACGGAACTCATCGAGTGTCATAAATTTAGGAACAGGATATATTTGGCTGAAAAGTGCTAATGTACATTTATGAATATTTGTGTATTTCTAAGCCTGCAATGACTTCCCATGGGATTTCACATTGTCACCTTAAATCCTTCAAGCAACAACTTGATGAGTTTATGTATCAGAGCTGTAGATGTGACATGCTCACTTTTTGTGGAGAACAGTTTAAGATTCAGTGAGCTCCACCTAGCATGGTTCAGAATTACAGAATCTGGACCATCAAGGTTGGAAGAGCCCTTAGGGATCATCCAGTCCTGTAAGCAACCCAGCACTGCCACTGTAACTCCTATACCACTAAACTGTATCACCAGCACCAGATCCAGATGCCTCTTAAATATCTCCAGGAATGCTGAATCCCCAAATGTCCTCTTATCAAACGTCAAATACTTTTTCAGGCTTATGTCCCCCTCACCCCTCACTCTAACCTGTGCCTCAGCTTGCCAGTATCGGACTTGGTGACCTTTAGGACTTTGTGGTAGAAAATCTCCAAAAGCTGTCATCAACCTGTTTCTCAGTCAGTGCAATTTTCTTCATTGATGGAAAAATGAGGATTTCTGCTACAAGCTGAGAAATAAGGAGTAGGAAACAACAGATTAAATCAACTACTGAATTTGGTGGGCTTTTTAGGAGCGATCTCTGAGATGTGACTGTGTAAAAAACCCAACGCTAGAACAGAAGGCATCAGTTAAAGTGTTTCCATTAGGGACAGAGTAAGGTTGTGTATTGATGAGTCTGAATACATTCTTGAGACACTCTTGGTGAAATAAGTTGAGCCCACAGGACACTTTCAGGTGACATATTACATTATGAAGGTGTTTTGGAAGCCTGACTTGTACAATAAAGCAGCAGGCATGTGGCTTGCTTAGGTCAACAAAGCAAAGGCGAGGAGGGAGTATGGTTACTCTTTGCCAGGGATTCAACTAAAAGGAGGCAAAAAAAGCTGCATAAAATAAAGAATAATATAGTGAATAGATAGATATACATTGACCATGAATATGGCTAAACCAAAATTTGTGAGGGTTCTAATGATATTTCAGAAAATTCTTGCAGTTGAGGTGACTGGGAGAAAATTCTTCATAAAGGCAAAACGAGAAGAATGCATTAGAGGGGCTGTAACTGCCTGCAGTAGGGAAGGACTGGATTTCATAAACCAGAACATTTGCTGTGAGAAAGATCCTCCCCTGCTGTCTCAGCAGCCCCATGAAGTTCTGCTTCCCCATGCGGAAATTTGAAGTTACCATTGTTTATCCTGAATCTGAGGGAAGATGGGGTGCTGGCATCTTCTGCTATTTGTCATGGGTCAGAGGCGATGACATCCATGGGGGAAGTCCAACACAGATAATGTAACATCAGCAGGCACAGACGAGTGTCTGCAGCCAGCTGTGTGTCACTGCTGCTCTGGTCCCTCGGTCAGTGAGGACAATGGTGCTGTGTCCTGTGATGGGTGCTGTGGCAGGGGTTGGACAGATGCATTCATGTGGGCAGGACACTGCTTTACAGAGACACCATAAGGGTTTGTCTTTGCTGTGGACCCTTCTCGATTGTCTGCTCTGAGGTTGTCCTTCTCAAAATAGCTTTCTTCAAATACAGGCGATGCTGCAGCTGCCTGCAGCAGTTAGATTTACGTGTTAGACTAGACTGATGGTGTTAACAAGGATGCTACATTAACTCAGTCTTTACCCTCTGCTGTCTGTCAGGCCAACCAATTTAAATAAAAAGGCTCACCATAGCATTTTGTACATTCGAGTGTTGATTTATGAGCCATGTGCAAAGCAGGATTCTAGCCAAATTTCTAATGAGACTCCAAATACCCGGGGTTACTGCTGCTCTCAGTGAGTTACAGTATCACTTTTCCTCATACTCCTATCCACAAGGGGACAGTCTTTCCATCTCTTACCACTGACTAAAACCATTTAAAAGTTAGCTCTTTGTAAATCTACCATTCAATGAATGCAATGTATTTTTTTTAAATACATGTTTCGTGCTTTAGAAAAAAGTTCCGGAACATTGTATATATGATATTACTGTACTTACAGGGCTAATCATAAGCAAAGTTAGTTTAATGAAAATCATGACTTGAAAACAATGACTGTGGCTACAAAATACTCAGTGCAAAGTACAAAATGAAGTCTCCATTATACTTATTGAGATATCTTTGGAATAGAATGTATTTTTTTCTCATTCAGCTTTTTTGATTGTTCACTTACATTTCTTGACTCCATCCAAAAACATGTTTAATAGTACTAGTAATAAAGACATAAATTCAAAAGGGGTTTTAGTGGGAGATCTTGAAATTTTAATACAGAAAAAATACTAGATTTATTATAATATAATGTCATAAACCATTAGATTATAAAAACATCACATTCATTTTTCTTCAATATTTGTAAATTGTTCCAGTTGATGTCATAGATATGATTCTTACATTTTTGCTTCTTACCTGAAAAATTTGGTTTAGAAATAACTGCTTGATTTACTCTGAGTACAGAATACTTTGGGCAAAGCAGATAATGCCATAATTTTAAATTTTCAAACTGCTCACACCTCCTAGTTTTCATTAGTGTGGCATGTGGCCCCAATCTCTCCTGATAAGTTGATAAATCAGCCATTTTTTCATAGAGCCAAACCCCCACAAAAGTGGGCCAATTCCTCACTGCAGTTACAGAAAGTACTGCAAAGTTTTCTGAATGCAGGAAGAAACCAAAAATATTCTTCAGCAAAATATTTCATGCAAACCATGCAGCATAATCTTGTCACTAAGCCTGCTTTGCACATACTTGCAAGCAACCATAATTAAAAAAAAAAAGTTATGGAGAAGGGCATAAATATGAACAAAAGATGAAGAAACATTCTTTTGAAACATAATGGTATTAAAGATGCCACAGCCTCCTTAATAAATGAAGCTTCCTCCTTAATGAAGAAAAGCTTACAAAATATTGCAAAGTGGTTTAATGTATTCCATCAGAAATTATTTCTATGGAATATTAGAATACTAATGTAATTACAAATATTAGCAGCATATATTCATGAAAGTGTTCCTGAGCTGGAGATATAAGCTAAAAATTATAATGAGAAGAAAGAGTGAGGCTTAATTTGGATTTAAAATGCTCAGTACTAAGTTACTGCTCATGTCAAGATTACTCAGTGAATAGATTCTCTTAAGTGACCAAAGTGAAACTTTTTTCTTTCATTTTTGTTAAGATAAAACCACTTCTGAGTGGACAAAATTGAGGTAAATTACTCGTGATAGGCAAAACAGGGTTCACTAATCTTTAAATGAAATTTCTGGGCCAACCGTAAAGTATTTTAGTTATTTAAGAGGCAGGATTCTCTGTCAAACCAGTATATAATTTTTAAGATTTCATCAGTGAACATCTCTCTCTACACATCAGAATGACTTAAATGTGTGGTTACTTATAAAAACTGCTGAAAAGTGATTGTGATGAGTTACCCATTGTTTGTAGCAGCTCATGATCCACTTGGGATTTGCAATAGGTTTTAATTTTACTGTATTCAATGGCAGAAGTTGTCACTACATTCTGCTTTAGCTTATTATCCTCAGTTAGTGCATCCCTTGATATCTCTGGATTCAAAGCCATATTTCTTTATATATTTGAAAGAGGTAGCGCAGTGGTCACAGTAACAGGCAATTTCAGCTGATTCAAGAGCAGCAAGGAGAATAAATGAAAGATGTGAGGATTTCTGTAATCAAAGGGAGAGATAATTGAGGCTAAGAGAATTATTTTAGTTACCAAGATAAGTAAGAAAGATTCTGATACATTACAGAGAAAGAAGTAGCCTCACAAGTCCTGCCAGAAGCTTTCTCCAGTGCAGGTTTCCCACAGGGTCGCAGCCTCCTTCAGGCATCCACCTGCTGACACGGTTTCCTCCACAGACTGTAGGTGGATTTCTGTTCCACCATGGATCTCCATGGGCTGCAGGGACACGCCTGACTCACTGTGATCTGCACCACAGGCTGCAGGGGAATCTCTCTCTGCTGCCTGGAGCACCTTCTCCCCCTTCTTCTACACTGACCTTGGTGTCTACACACTTGTTGCTCTCACATATTCTCACTCCTCTCTCTGGCTGTGGTTGCTCCCTCCGTCCCCCTGCCTTCTTGACCTGGGCAAACTTGGGAGAATTGTGATTGTTCATCCTGGAGAAAAAAAGGCTTCCAGTAGACCATCCGATACCTCAAAAGGCTTTATAAAAATGAGAGACAGGATTTTTCACATGGGCAGATAGTGATAGGACAAGAGGCAATGGTTTTAAACTGATAGAAGGCTGGTTTAGTTTAGATGTTAGGAAGAAAAAGAGAATAGTGAAGCATTGAGACAGGTTGTCCAGAGAAGTTGTGGATGACCC